GGGATTTATAGTTATGGGTTTGAATCGTGACTCTGCTACTTGCACCTATATGACCTCAGCAAGTTAATTAACGTCCCTAAACCCCTAGTTTCTCATTAGAAAGGAACATATGATAGAATCTATTTCTTTTCTTCTTAAATAGAGATAAGGTTTCACTATATTTCCTAGGAATCCAGCCTATAGAACCTATTTCATAAAGTCATTTCAAGGATTGAAAAGAGTAATTCATATATTTTGTACCACACCTAGTTTAATAGTAATAATAAATAAAATTAACTATTATTGGGCTGGGTGCACTGGTTCATGCCTCTAATCCAAGTGCTTTGGGAGGCTGAGATGAGAGCATTGCTTGAGCTCAGGAGTTCGAGATGTGCCTGGGCAACATAGTGAAACTCTGTCTCTACAAAAGAAAAAAAAATTAAATTTAAATTTTAAAAAAGTAACTATTGTCATTACTATAATTATTGAATGGCTGTTGTTAAAATTTTGGTCATAGATGTTTAGGAATCGAAGAGAACTTAGTGACAATTTTTTTAAATGCCTTTATTCTTGCTCTTTTGTTTATGTAGTAATAGTAAAACTGTCATAACTTCCAGGTATTCAGATTTGCAGTCCGTTGCTCCTTATACTCTTCATTAAAAGGACATTTAAACTTCATTTTTAAAATAATTGATTTTCCATAAGCAAACCAATTATTTTACTTCCAGAATTATTTTCTTTGTGATCATTTATTGGAATGAATAACAGATGCAGAAAATTAACAATCATGATATCTGGGCAAATGTGTAAAAATTGTTATAAATTCTTAATTTTGAATCATATTTTTCAGCTTTATTTTCTCCATAATAACTACCTCCCAGAACATACTATCCCTTAGCAGACAACTAGAACAAATCCTATGTAAGGTAAATTGCTCCCAGAGATAGCCACTCATACTTCCTCATTTGTGGAAGTTTGTTTTAATGAGTGCTCCTGCAGAACAGCACCTATGACCTGCAATCAACTTCCAGCTGCAGACACCTCTGCTGTCAGAATTCCGTCCTAATTCTAAAAAGCCCTCTACTATATTTGAAATTTCTTTACTTTTAATTCTTTCATAAAATGCAAAATTAGATTTCAAAGCATTTTTATCCAATATGTATTAGCTACCTAAATAGACTGAGATTGTTTTAATATCATTTTTGATCAACTTATTTTGAAAGTCCTCAAATTTATTTTTGTCAGGCAGTAATATTAAATATACGTGCTGAATTAATCAGGAAGACTAACATCTATCTGATAAGCCCCTATTACATACACTTCAAAGTTTCTATTTAGATTACTGCATCTTTAGCAAAGCAATGCATAATTCAGATCCCAAGAGAAAAACGGTTGAAATAAAATCTAGGATATATTATATATACACATATACATTCTGGTGTGTAACTCAAACTGCATATTTTCACATTCAAGTTTTTATTCAAAATTTTATAATGATTTTTATGTAGCTTTAATTTAATTAATTAATTAAGTTGAAAAGGAGTTTTTCTCTGTCACCCAGGCTGGAGTGCAGTAGCACAATCTTGGCTCACTGTAATCTCTGCTTCCCAGGCTCAAGCAATCCTCTCACTTCAGCCTCCAAGTAGCTGGGACTACAGGTGTGCCCCACCACGCTTGGCTAACTTTTTGTATTTTTTGTAGAGACAGAGTCTCCCTATGTTGCCCAAACTGGTCTCATACTCCTGAGCTCAAGCAATCAGGCCACCTTGGCATCCCAGAGTGTTGGAATTACAGGCATAATTACAGTTTTAAGGCTTGCATAGCATTACATAATATGAATTGCCATAATTAGCTTTTCTCATTTTGTGGGACATTTACATTGCCCCCAATATTTTATTATAAATAATGTTTTAATAAATGTATTTATATAAATATATTTTTTCTATATTTCAATTTTGTTCAAATAGCTTCATGGAAATATCAAAGACATTTTAAGTATGTAATTATTTTTATCAAACATAGTAGGATAGGTGTCCCCTTACTTAGCTCATCGACAAGGTATGGGAATATTTCTCATGTGCTTTTTGTTTGCATATTTTTATTATTAAGAAAGTTAACTATTCTGTAATTCATTCACTAGTGTTTGTAAATTAATGAATAATTTATGATTCATGAATTGTGCCCGTTAATATTTTTTCTTTAACCGATTTCTGTCTTAATTATTTTGTGTTTTTTAAAACTGTGTTTTAGTAATTTGCCCTGCTGGCCGAGTGCAGTGGCTCACTCCTGCAATCCCAGCACTTTGGTTTGGAGATCTAGGCCATACTGGCTAACACGGTGAAACCCCATCTCTACTAAAAATACAAAAAATTAGCTAGGGGTTGTGGTACGTGCCTGTAGTCTCAGCTACTAGGGAGGCTGAGGAAGAAGAATCACTTGAACCCAGGAGGCAGAGGTTGCAGTGAGCCGAGATCACTGCCACTGCACTCCAGCCTGGGCGACAAAGAGAGACTCCGTCTCAAACAAACAAAATAATAATTTGCTCTGTTTAGCTACTTATTAATCTTTCTTAAAATTATCTTACCAAATATTATTCATTTATTTGAATTTTAAAATTGATTTTTAAATTTCCTAAAGGTATTCTATTGAGATTTTTATTAAAATTAAATTAATCATATTTTTAAAAATCTCATAACTAAGTTTTTTCCAATCTTCTCTTTAGGCAGTCTGATTAGTCACTCCATTAAGCCTAGCAAAATATGGTAGATCTCATTTATTTCTTGGTAAGATAATTATTTTTCTTTTTTTTTTTTTTTGAGATGGAGTCTCGCCCTGTAGCTCAGGCTGAAGTGCTGTGGTGTGATCTCAGCTCACTGCAACCTCCACCTCCCAGGTCCTGACTCAAGCAATTCTCCTGCCTCAGTTTCCCAAGTAGCTCGGATTACAGGAACACACCCAGCTGATTTTTGTATTTGTAGTAGAGACGGGGTTTCACCATGTTGGCCAGGCTGGTCTCGAACTCCTGACCTCGTGATCCACTCGCCACGTCCTCCTAAAGTGCTGGGATTACAGGCATGAGACACTACACCCAATCAATGATTCTTAACTACCATATTTCATATTTGTTTCTGCAAATAGTATCATAATTTCTTTACATTTTTAATTGGTTATTATCTGTGTACAGATTTTAACTTGCTTGTTTCCAGACAGTTTATTTGACTTTACAGTGTACTTCTTTTTTTCTCCAATTAATTTTCTTAGGTTCTCCATATATGGGTGGTTTCTTTCCAAAGTCCATGGACAAAATTTACAAATACCAGTTTCACAATGGTATGAAGGATAGCAAATTTAAGTAGCGTATAATTCATTTTAAGAGGGAATATTATCTACAATTATATTTTTACCAAAGCATAACTTTCCTCATTTCTCCAGTAACAACTTAGCCCACTGAAATCTGAAGTTCATACCTAACATTACTCAAACTGCTTTTAGTCTCACATTTATTTTACTCAGATGCTAATCAGTGTGAAAGAAGGAGGACAAAAATAATTTGCTATGTCACCAATGATGTCTCAATTAACAACTTAATTGCTTCATTCACAGCAATTAATTGCTGACTTCCAACAAACACTCTCTAGGCTAAGTCATACTATTATTACAGAATTTGACAATGCAGCTTTCTTCATCTTCATATTGGGTATTTTTGGTTAACTCACCCATCTTTCCATAGTCTTCTAGTATATCTCTCATCTTCAGGCTGCTATGATGATTATCTTCTACCCATTGCTTAAATACTGATATTTCTAGAAGGGTTGTTTTGTTTCTCAGTATTACTCTCTTTTCTTCTTTTCTTATATTTTCCCCTTGGGCAAGTCAAACTATTTCATAGCCTCAAAATATGACCTGTACATGGTTGATTTCCAAGTTTATATATTGACTATCACCTCCTTTCAGAACCGCATTTCAAATATTTACTTGTCATTTCTACCTGGATGACTAAAATGATAATCCAAAGTCAGATTCATTATATTTTCTTCAAAATCATCCTTTCTGTTGAAATTCATTAGTTCAGAAAATGGCATAATGATGATGATAAAAATAATGTATAATAATAGTGACATTATAGTAATAACAAAAAGCTAGAAACATTTATTCAACGAATTATACTCCAGAACCATTTTAAGAGCTTTACATGTGCTAACTCATTGTCACAACAATACTATAAAATAAACGTAAGTATTATATATTTCATATGTAAGAATATTTAGGTGCAAAATTTGAGGAAATTGCCCAAGGTCATATTGATAAATAAAAGGTAGAAAAACCAGCTTTATAGTCCCCACATAAAGTTTTTTTCCTCTTAAAAATAAAAAAAGAAAGAAAGACACACATCCACAATTCTATTCTTCCAACCACAATTCTATACTTCCAAGCCGAAAGCTAAAAACGTCAGAGTTATCCTTGAGTCATTCTTTCCTCTTTTATCCCTAAATAATTTACCAAGACCTGTCAATCTGGTCTTTTGCATAGTTAATGCCCTTCTCATCGCCTCTCTACTCTTTGCTTTCTCAAGCAACCACCAACTCTTATTTAAAGTGTAGCAAAGACTTCCTACTTCCAATATTTTATACTTTCATGATGCCTTCCATACAATCAGGTGTGATTCCATCATTCTTATGTTTAAAGCATTTCTGTTTTCTGTTTAAAAATCTTCCTGTGCCATGCAGAATTAAATTCAAACTTCTCGGCAAAGTACTCAAGGTCTTTTATATTCTAAAGTTGTGTTACGTTTCTGAACATTCCTCACTTGCCCCTCAGCCCTACCTCAAACATATATTCCCTGTTGTAATGATTACTTATTATTACCTAAACATGAGTATGTGCGTATACAACATATTTTATATATTCATAGCACAGTGAATATATATATCCATAGCCAAATATATATATAATATATATATATGTGTGTGTGTGTGTGTGTGTGTGTATGTGTGTGTGTGTGTGTGTATATGTATACTTATATATCCATAGGAATATATAGATAGGAATTCCTCAATGGAGAGATCATGCCTTACTCATCTGTATTTTTTAAACTTAACAATATACAGTACTCTGCACATGACAGCTATTCAATATGTTTTGGCTCAACACGTGAATGAATGAAGAAATAAACTAATATAAAGCTTTCAGGTAACCATATTTTATGATCCATGATGTTCATTTTAAAAAATTCAGCCTCTCCCCCAACTGAAAGAAATTGAGTGTGCAAGATCCAAGAATAAAGTAAGATTCTGGAAGAGTTATACCACACACCATTTCTCTGAATATTCAGGGAGGAGAATGAGGAAAATCTTTATTATGTCTATTCTGCAAGTAATGCCATTCTCAAGTAGTTCTGGAAATAAAGTATATCTACTTACATTTGTATAGTTATACAAAGATTTTTACGCACTTTATCAGCTTACTAATTACTGGGGCCTTGCTTTCCATTTGAGGAAGCTGGCCTATGGTCCTATTGCTTTAAGAAGATAAATGGATTACAAAATCACCATCATGGTTGGAATGTGAAAGAACATGCTAAATTAGGAGAACAGTGGCCTCTTTTTTTTTTACAGTAATTTATGAGTGGTGACAGAAATAAATGTCTTTGGATGACAATAGGGCTGTCAGTATCAAATGATAATATCACACTTGTGGTTAAATAAGCGACATCTGTCAGGGAGTAAGATGTGTAGAGCAATCAGTATACTTGTTAGAATCATAATGCTCATATTAAAATAATTCTGGCTATCATTTTCCTTAGTTCTAGCTTTTTATTTAAATTTCTATCCTATTGATATATTAAATATCCATTTTAATGTGAACCATACTAAATCACTTTAAAGAAATAGATGAGGGTGTGAACAATTCTAAATAGAAAGAAAAAAGAAACTAAAACTGAGCCCAACCAATTTCTTAACTATTTCCTTACAATAAGGTAGTTATTGGGATAAACACAATAACCACTCAAAAATCAAGATTATATAACTCTAAACAATGCAATGGTGACCTGAGTCATTTAGCTGCACAAATACACAGCAGGTGAAATGACAGCATCTAAATCACACATTACCTGGGAAAATAAAAATAAAATATTTATACGAGAGCAGTTGCTTGATAAATGTATCCTACTTTTCTTCAGTGTTTAGTTTTGAATAATGGCCAGACTTGTCAATGGCTTTGCCTTGACAAATTTATCTCACAGTCAGCAGCCTTATCTTGAGACAACAATCTATTCCTTTATGTTATCTTGCAGATCGTAACTGTTTAATATTCTCATTGAAAATTTCCTATCAATTTTGTTATTTGTGTCATAGGATGCCAAACTTTCTAATAAAGTATATTGGCATATGGCTTGCAACTAAAATTTCAAAATAATAGGTATATAGTAGTTTTGTGGCTGTTGTTTACATATATATCCCAAAGGGAGAAATGTTATGAAAAGCAAAGCAAATGCTAACAATTTTTTAAATTCAGATTTCTTTAGATTGCATATAAACTCCTGAGAAAGTTCATAGACTTGCAGCTTAAAGAGATACAACAATATTTTACTTATTAACATACCAGTCACATCCCATCATATTAGATGGAGTAGCCACATGGCCAGTTACTTAGAGAACTGAGGAAGTTGCCAGGAATTTGTAACCATTGGCAATCTTCTCACTAAACATATTTTTTTCCAAGTGTTGTTGCTCCTGTGGCTACAGGAGGCTTCTCACAGCATACAAACAAAGGAAAAATTCAAAGGCAAATTCTTTAAGGGAGCATTGTTTGTATGGCTAGTTCATTTCGAAACATTCATACTGAACAGCTAGACAAGAATTTGTACTAGTTAGACCTTGACTTCCCCTCCATGAACATTCAGTTTAATTTACTCATCTAAGGCTCAGAGCATTTTTATAATTTGCCCAAATCTACCTAGACAGGAAAAGAGGAAAGACAACCATATATACTGGTAACTCTTCCAGAAACATCTAATCTAGTGTTCTTTCTACTAACCATTGTTCTTAAAATTCACATGAAATATTTACTAAAAATACATATTTCTTGGTCCCTACCCCAAATGTGGAGTGAAACCAAGGGAATTTTCATTTTTCCTGTCTAGAGTATGGTGATGTAGCAACCTAAAAACATGTTTTGAGACATAATTTTCTATGCTACAATATTTCTTCATAAATATAAAATAATTGTTCATTGCTTTGGTTAACATGGTAGCTTTCTCAACAGATTTCTTAGACATTCAGTTCCAGCATAGCTAATGCAGACTGAGGTGGGGAGAAAATTAAATGGTGTGTGTGTGTGTGTGTGTGTGTGTGTGTATGTGTGTGTGTGTGTGTGTGTGTGTGTGAGTGTATTAAGGTGCAAGATAAAAGTAAAGAATGGATTGGATAGAGCCTACTTACAAATAAGCCAAGAGTAGAAGACACATCAAACTGATTCAAGATCCACCCACTTTTCTATATTAGGGCTACTTTTATGTTTGTATTTCTTTCAGTGTAGATCAGTATGTGTGCTGGGAGCCAAAGAAAAGTTATTTCAAAGTAGAGGTTTGGTGCCAACTTCTCCCATAGGGAATGAGAAGACTCTAAGAGCTTCTTGCCCTAATGATGGCATCATCCCCCTCACTTTTTTCTTTGCTGTCCTTACTATGCACCTGCAAGTCAGTCACATTCTGTTGTACATTGCCAGTGCGGTGTGATTAATGCTCAAAGGAAACACATCATTTCCCACATGATCCAGTACTATACTCTCTATGCCCCTCATTCAGTGGTCCTTCTCAGCAGGGAGTCCCAGGCTGGGTCTCAGTACTTAACTCATAGGTAGCTAGTTTCTGATGAAGATAAGAGACCAGTGGTTGAATACCATGGTAATAACATGCCATTTAATGTCCTCACTGGATCCAGTAACTTTATCCATCCATGACCCTGCAATGCTTCATTGCCTTTATTTGTCTCACAAAATAGAGAAGCATAAGTTATTAAAATTCTATATTTTATATTCCATGATACAGTTTGAATATCTGTCTGTGCCCAAATCTCATGTTGAAATGTAATCCCCGATGTTGGATGTGGGACCTAGTGGGAGGTGTCTGGATCATGGAGCAGATCCCCCGGAATGGCTTGAGCTATTCCCTTGGTAATAACTGAGCTTTTACTCTGAGTTCACACTAGATGTGATTGTTGTAAAGTGTGCCCCCTATACTCTCTCTGTTGTCCCTGCTTTTGCCATGTCATGTGATTGTTCCCTCATTGCCTTCTGCCATGATTGTAAGCTTCTTGAGGCCTCCCCAGAAGTTGAGCAAATGTTGGCACCATACAACTGTAAAGCCTACAGAACTATGAGCCAATTAAATCTATTTTATTTATGAATTACCCAGCCTCTGGTATTTCTTCTTAGCAAGGGAAAATGGTCTAATACACCCTAAATAAATAGTCAGCTAGCTTGTGTATTTCTCATTTTCCATAAATCCACAGATTCTGTGTTGATTTGTTATAAACAATCTTAAACCAGGAAATTCCTGCTAAGAGCATTTCATAAATAAGATATCTTTTTCTTGTAATACTATTAGCTCATTTACTAGGAGGTCCAGTATCTTTTCATAAGTAAATTATACCAAATTCCCTGCTTCACATCATTCCAGCAACACCCCCATTTCTGTTTCCTCAGAAAGCTAGTGAATGGATTAGAGGCCAGCTACTTTAACTCTTTTTCTCTCCAGTATTAAAAGAGGTCGTTTAAATGAAGGCACTTTAAACAGCATCATATGCTATGCAAACTGTGAAATAGTTAAAGATAAAATATTGAGTTAAGCCACCCCATGGGAATGATAAATATCAAATTGACTTCCAAAGTATGGCTCAAATAAGATAAAATAATATGTAATTGCACTTCTGTTTTCTGTAACTCCATAATGGGATTGGTACACTTTTTCTTTTTAGCCTCCTCAGGAAAGAAGTACTCTGGGAGAATGCCTCTACATAAAACAGGAGAGACTAAGAGCTTTCTGAGTCTGCTGATGATTATTGTGATTGGGTAATTCCACTGGAGAGAAAGGGATTACAATAAAAATAATGTTAACAATGAAAAGTAGCTAGACACCACTAGAATGAAGAACAGGAATACAAGGCTTAGATGGGCAACCACATGAAGCTGAGAGGAAAAGGATCTTCGAATCACAGTGGAGATCAGTTTAACAAAATAAAATCAGAAAAAATATATAAAAAGCATTAAAAATTCCATGAGACTTTGCATAACTGTAAGGTATTAAGAAGAAGTTTTACCAATCCCACTGGAAACAAGAAGAAAAAAAAGAAGCTGTGTGATGATTTTTGGGGAAAGGCAAATATAAAATGAAAACCAATATGAAGAATGAAAGTGTTTGTAAAATTATACCCATGAGAAACTATGAATGCTAAAAATAAATTAAAAAGTAGACTCAATGACTTCTAAAATAATAATATGTGGTATGATTATTAGAATTTACACAAATTCAGAGAGAAGAGAGCCTAAGAAGTATCTTGAGAGGTTTAAAGAATAAGGTGTGATAAAGTCATTCTTAACAGGAGACGTAGTTAAATACTAGAATGATAATATTATACTATCTGCTTCAATGAAAACATTTTAAGTGGATTAATATTCATGCGCCATAATAGGAAAATCCTAAGATGAGACGGAAATAAACTACAAGTTCTGTCCTACTCTTAAATTTCGTAAGAAAATCCCATGGCATTACTAGTAAACTTCACTTTTAATGCTCATTAAACATAGAATATATTTTAATATGTATTAACAAGCTTTTTATTTGGCAATTTATAATATTTGCATTGTCAAAATAAAATAGCAACACATTTACTTTTTTAAACTCCCTGTTTCAATGTTATAAGTCTTTTTAAAATAAATGAATTCCATTCTTTAAATGCTGTAAATATTCAGCTAAAAATGTCTCTGTAAAGGTTAAGCATGCTAGCTGGGCGCTGTGGCTCATGCCTGTAATCCCAGCACCTTGGGAGGTCCAGGCAGGCAGGTTACTAAAGGTCAGGAGTTTGAGACTATTCTGGCCAACATAGTGAAAACCTGTCTCTACAAAAAAATACAAAAATATTATCTGGGTGTGGTGGTAGGCACCTGTAAACCCAGCTACTGTGGAGGCTGAAGCAGGAGAATAGCTTGAGCCTGGCAGGCGGTGGTTGCAGTGAGCTCAGATAGCACAATTGTACTCCAGCCTGGGCGACAGAGCAAGATGAGACTTCACCTCAAAAAGAAAAAAAAAAAAAAAAGAGATAAAAGAAAAAGAAAAAAGGTATGCTTAACATTACAGATAAACTTTAATGTGAATAAAATATAAAAACTTACTTAAATGGTTACATCATTATTTCAAAAAATATACCATGTCAATGATGTTAGAAGCACTTAACAATTCAAATAATTGTTCTGTATTTAATGGTTCTAAATGTTTTATGTAGTATAATTAAGTTTAATTTAGTACGTAAATGTTATTACTGAAATATTCTTTGGTACTTGAAATGAATTTAAGTAGGTATTCACATTCTGTGGAATATTCTGGGATTAGACAGTTACTGAATTAAAGAGTTTATTTCCAAAGGATGGCTTCCCATAAGTGAATTTGCATCTGTTCAATTTGACACTAAACAGAAAGGTGTAATTCAGAGCAGGATCATTCCTTGTGTTCAGACAATTAGGTGAGAGCAAGATAAAATTTTGTGAGATATAGTTTTCATAAAATGAGATCTATTAATGAAGAAATTAGGCTATTGTTCTATCCAAATAATAGACACAATGTGTTTTATGTATTCTCTTTTTTAGTATTAAATCACAGTCAACCTGTGATTATAGATCTATGAGACTATAAAATTAGCACTGAAATACCACTCAGAAAATTCACCTTGATAAGCCTATTCTAACCATGCTTCCATGACATGGAATATTTTGGCAACTCCAATTTAGGAACTGTGTTCAGAGACCGGATATGACTCATGAAAGAAAAACAGCCTCATTGCTTTATATTCGCACTTTGCAAAGAAAAAGGGATAACATTTATCTGTACAGAGTAGATATTATGGGGCAAGCTGAGAAATCATTCCACAAACTAAATTCAAAACAAGCACTAAAAATTAGTCATCTTCCAAGGTAACACCAGTTAGAAATGAGCCTCAGAGTGAGAAATGATGTAATGAAATGGATTGTTGGTCAAGATGATTTTTTAAATCCCCTCCAACCTTAAGATTCTGTTATTATTTTTCCTGATTCAGGATTCTGTCAAACTGCACCATACGTATCAGTTATCCCTTCTCTTTAGATGCTTATGTACAAGTAACTATCATCCTTCTGCCACATACACATAGTCCAGAGTAAAATCAATGCTCCAAAGTAAAACATTAACCTTCTGGTATGTGTGCATGGAGATATGCACACGAGTGGTTAAACTAACATTATTCTCTGACAGACCTCACATGGAGTCATCACAGATCAAGGTGGAGAAGTGAGTCTAAAGAAAACTGGCACAAAAAAACAACTGGGATATTTAGGGAAGGGTTGCATGCACATGATCTTATGTATTAAATACATAACATTGTATACTCTATTTCGCAGAAAATACACCCTCTTTTAGTGTGTTATCCACTCTTGGGGATTTTTCCATTTTAGATCGAATCTCCACTATCCTCTATACAGATTTGTTTTTATAGCAACGTTCTTCAAATATCAATGATTTCTATGCCTTTTTACTTAAAAACACCACATACAGCAAGATATTCAAAACTAATAATTTTTGTTCTATTAACAGAGCTCAAATCTATTACTACATTTTCCTGGCAAATGCAACTGCCATTACTGTTTTCTTCAAGTAATACATCAGATTGTTTAACATATCATTAGTCCCAATACAAAAGGGGAAAATTTATATAGTTAGACAATTGTTGTACCTTTCTTCTTATGTTTAAAAATTCCATTTACAAGTATACAAAATTCTACTGAACAAGGGTAATCAGTACAGATAATATCATCACTTTAAACGAGCCAAAATATACAAAGTACAAAATAGCATGAGGTTAGATTGCCAGGTTTTTAATTTGTTCCTTCCAAGGAACAACATTGCTAATGTTTAACACACATTACCAAAGGTTGATACTGCTTGGTCTCACTGCATTAAACATTTATAAATTCATTACTTAGTTCTTCAAACATTCATTTCTATTTTCTTAACTGAAATCATTATGCATTTAACTTTTATTCATTTCAAAAAATTCTACTGCATTAGGTCTTCAAAGGGATTTTCGAAGTGTTCAATTACTTCTAACTGTGGCTTTTTTCTGGCCTTTTTTTTTTTTTTTTTTTTTTTTGGAATAAAGCCAGGTTCCCAGTCTTTGCACTTGTACTCTTACTCTCCTAATCCACTTGTTCCAGGGCTTGTGAAAAGGGGTTTTCTTTCATGACTTCCCCAACAGTGAGGGTTCCTTTCTAGCTTTAAAAAATTCAAGCTTAAAAAAATTTAAACTGGCATCGTTATAATGCTGTTGCTTTTGCTCAGTGAGGAATCAAACCCTTTGAACAATGAATGCTTGTCTAAAGCAACTATTCATAGAAGTACTGCCTTCTGGGGAATGGGAAAAGTTTTTACCTACTGACAAACGGGAGTAGCATAACAGAATAGAGCTGCACCCAACGCAAAGTGCCTTGTGTTTTCAGCTCTGAAATAAGGAGATCAGTTACAGCCCTTCTGCTATGGACCCGTTATAAAAAGTAGAGTGCTGAAGAATATCAAACAAGATCAAGCAGCAGTCCAGATCAGATCATGTGTCTTCCTTTTAAATGTCTTTAATTTACAGATTTTAAAAATGTATGGAGAGGCTGGAGACTTATCTGCATGTGTGAATTACAACTTGATAATGGAGTTTTAGTGAGAGTCTCAGAGACAAAAAGGACAAATCTTGAGAAAATTGTCTAGTATATATAAATAGCTTTAGCACTTACTTCAAAATTTTGTATTATGTTTTATCATTTAGGTATCAAAACTTCCCAAAACCTCTGAAAAGAAGCCAAACCTCCTGACGTCTCTTATTCAGCTTTCTCCAGCAGCAGCCTCCCATGCAGAAGATTGCTCTTCATTCTGTGCTCACACTAATTTTCTGTAGCAAAAATTGTGGCACAGAATTTCCCTAATTCAGCATTTGGAAGCAATAAGTTTTAATCCAGCTTCAGGGAGTGGAGAGAGAAAGCAATTTAGAACTTTTAAAAAATAAGTTTATAAAATCAACATATATAAATGATGATCATTATTATTGCTGATAAAGTTGAGTTTCTTAGGAGTGGCAATGAAAGTGCCTTAGCCATTCAGTTTCTATATTTCTTTCTGTTTCCTTATTATTCAGGGCCTGTGTCTGAAGCATATGGTTTACTGGGGCTTTCTCTCCTCCCTCTGCATTCCAGAATTATCTGGTTTCCCACACTTCAGCACTTCCTAATGTTATATGTAAAATAAAGAAGTAGACATTCAAACTGCAATATTTTACCACTCTTCTAGGTATTGAAGTATTAGAAAAATAAAAGACGGATAGTAAAACATGAAATGTAGCTGTTTTCATCTCTCCAACCTCTCTTTTATTATTATGATCCACACTTAAGAATTACATACAGATGTCCCTTAATTTCTGATGGGATTATGTCCCAATAAACTCTTCATAAATTGAAAATATCATGAGTTGAAAATGCATTTAATACAATTAATCTACCAAATAGTCTAGCTTGCTTAGCCAACCCTACCTTAAAGGTGTTCAGAGCACTTTTATTAGCCTACAGTGGACAAAATCATATAACACAATGCCTATTTTATAATAAAGTATTGAATACTTCATGTAAGTTATTGAACACTAAAAGTGAAAAATAAAATTGTTGTGTGGGTACTTGCAGTATGGTTTCTACTGAATGCATATGCTTTTATGCCATCTCAAATAAAAAAAAAAAATCCTAAGTCGAACCAACATTAAGTCAGAGACTGTATATTGTAAATCTATAAGACACAGTTATCATATTCAGTGGTTCATAAGATGATTAATTTTAAAAGCTTAGGTTTTACTCTTTTATTTTTAATTTAAAGATGGAGTCTTGCTTTGTCATTCAGGCTAGAGTGCAGTGGAGCAATCATAGCTCACTGCTTACTTGAACTCCTGAACTCAGGTGATGCTCCTGCCTCAGCCTCACAAGTACCTGGGACTACAGGCACATGCCACGCCACCCAGCTGAGAGCTTATGTTGTTGGACGCTAGAAATATTTGCTTATATTAAGATTGTGTTTTCTTCTTTACTACTAACACCCTGACTGAATTAGTGACAGATGAAAAATGGTATTGTAACTTCCTGCATGTTTTATTGATCATGAGCAGTCTAGCATAAGTTATATAAACAATTAATAAAAGAAAACTAAAAGTAGATATGCATGTTTGTAGTGCTGATTCTTCACCTGCCATTTTAATGCCCTTGGCAAAATAAAAATGTTTCTAGATCTCATGTGTATGACTTTGACATAGAGACTAACCAAATTCTATTTATTATTTTCTACGCCACTCAATGGAAAATAAGGATATGTGGGTATTTGAAAAGTTTAAAGCAGATATTGATCATTATTTTAGTATTAGACAAGTTAGAGTCCAAGGCAGAAATCATTCAATAAGACACAAATTGTCATTTTATGTAGAACGAGACAATGTATAATGAAAGTATAACAGGCATGAAACTTCAAGCAGCAGCAGAGAATCAGTCTATCTAAAATATAAATTATTCTTAAAAAGTAAAACTTAAGCCAGACAGAACAGACAGAAATAGAAGACTTCAAACACAAGACTAACATGCAAGACTTCAATATATGGCTTCAGATATTATTTTGATATTTTGATAAATTGTTTTGACATAGATGACAAATAAATTATATTAGAAATAGAATAACTGTATACTAAACTTTATGAAATAGAGTTGCAAATTTCTTTTCAAATATCTAGATCTAGCCGGGGCAGTGCCTCACACCCACAATCCCAGCATTTTGGGAGGCCGAGGCAGGCAGATCACCTGAGGTCAGGAGTTTGAGACCAACCTGGCCAACATGACAAAATCCCATCTCTAGAAAAAAAAAAAAAAAGAAAGAAATAGAAAAATAATCTATAGTCAGTGTAATTGAAAACAGGCCACACCATAAAGAAATAACCTGCACAAAAACCCCCATGACACAAGTTTAC